GAGTCAGGCTGCAATGACTTCTTTACTTGACCTCTGACACTTTCACTCCTATGAGATTTGAGTCACTTCGTCATAGGAACTCCTGGTGCATGTGTTTGGGCTTTCGTGAATACGGTATAAAGCTCTATGAAGCTTCACTTTCCAAATACTGGTAAGTAGTAACTCGGTCTTTTGAACAGCCACTGCTCCCCAAAGCGTTGGCAGTTGTGAGTTAGATAAAGTCAACGGAGTGTTTCAGGTGATACTCTCACCCGATATCTCTGTCTGTGATCTTAAAAAGTAATCATTTTGTGAATACTGAGTGTCTGATTCGTCCAAAAACAATCTTCAGTTCGAAAATGCGAGTTTCCGTTTGGCATATTCCTCGGTTTTTCCCAAGCAAAGCACGCGTGCTCACGTATAATAAGTGTGTTTCCTATGCCTCTTTAGCTGACAGTAGAACACAGTGACACTTTAAAACAGTCAAGCAATTTGCTGGTCGTATTCTTAGTGAGGTCGCTCATCCTCTCCATTCTGAACTAATGGCTGCGAAGTCTACCCGTACTATGCACTGAAGCTTCCGTCGTATGTCATGCCGTACATCGACATATCCACAAATGTGGATATCGTGCAAACCCTTAACTTTGAATATTCTCTGATCTTTTACCTTTTACCACGACCTCTTACCTTACCTTTTCCCTGCTCGTCGTGAATGGAGCAATTTTTTGCTGAAAATGCTGGATATCACCTTCAAAATATAGCTTTCTCTGTCTCTTCCAAAGTACAGAAACCAGCTGAGTATGGAATTCATTTGACCTCTAAGTGATCCACACCCGCTCTGTAGGGGGAAAAGATTGCAATGCAATATTTTCTCTCGATTGACGGATCGCTTATTCCAACGAGTAAATTAGAGAGTATATTGTGAGTTCATTCTCCCTTCCCCAGTCTGATCAAAAGGAGGCGAAACTTTAGAACCTTGGGCAACACTTGACACAAAATTCGATGGGAGCTAACATAACTTGTGCGGGATTTTGAAACTGAGCCGCCATGTTTGCTGCTCTACATTCGCATGTAATTTTTTTCTATAGATATCGGCAAGATTATTGCGACCACTATAAACCGATTTTTATCTCCGCTATGTTTATTCAGAGTACAACAATGAGGTCATTAGCACACGGCGCTATCAGCCGTTTTGAAGGCAGTCCAATTTTGCCTACATTTTGCGACTCACTGAAAGACGATTTGTTGACAATTGCGGTGTGTTGGGCAATTATGCCTTATTTGTGATCTTCCGGCGGTATATGCCCCCTAAACTGACCGCGTAAAAGACGCGATAGACCAACACAAGGGCCAGACCAGGGTACGGTAGGCGTTATTCGGATTACGTACATATAACAAATGCCGAACATGGGAGGGGGCGTGGTAGCACGCATAAGGGTGGACGCTTCGGTCGCGCCAGTCACCTGCGCTCTTCTTGACTTTATCTTGACACCGGGAGAATGAAGTAGAGCCATGACAAAGCACCTTTCATTAAAATCCAGCGCAGTTGAACGTCCCAGCACCATTCCTGTTGTGGAGCACACAGTGGACATAGTCGAAACCGACGGTCAAACTGTCGATATGTGATTTTTTATGTCTACTTTCATTCCCGATGAACGAGGAAGGTTTTTTTCTGGAAATCTTGGAAGTATATTTTCAGAATAAAGCGTGTCTCTCTAGCAATGACTCACTGTGGGGGGGGGGAGAGGAGTATGCTCCTCATTGGCTGCCGGTTTCGTTCGCGGCCAGTCGGAAATGCGAGGTGTTTGCTATCATGAACGTGCTCAGGTCCGCTCGGAATGTCTGCCCACGCGTGACCAATGACGGGTAGTCATATCTTGGCCCTTCGCCTTTTT